CTGTGGAAAACTGGTGGTGGGATTTTTTTAATGTGCTGAAATGAAGTGTAAGGAAGCTCACGTCTGCACCTGCTGTTTGCAGGCTGATCATCTTTAGTGGCTGTATTTGCTTGTCTTTAATCCTGATTCCTGGAGCCCGATGATCGCCCATAGAAAATTGTTTGTACGCGAAGAAGGAGGATGAAATTGAAATATTTTGCCAGTGGGCTTCAGCAAGGTCAGTTCTAGGTTTGTGCAGAGAAATGATCAAGGGAAGCTGCAGCTCTTGCCCTGAGAATAGACTCATCACTGTTCTATCTGTTTGATGCAGTTCACAGCTGGTTTCCTCTGCATTTCATACTTTATATCCCAGTAGAGCTTTCTGAAATCTTCATACTGCCTGCATGTTATAACATTGAAAATAAGGGATAAATTCCTTCTGTTCTTGCCATGATGATCCCAGCTTGCAGGAGGTCCGGCCCAGTAATTGTTACAGTATTTATTTGACACTGGTTCTCTAGGGGTGGTTTGCCTGGTCTTAGGTTTTGTCATGCTAAGCACAGCAGCACATAAATCTCTGAAGGTGATGGGTGTAGAGGGAGCATTTGGACTTGTCAAATTCTCATATTTTAAAGCACATATGTAGAAAAAATGTGTTGCTTTTTCAAAAGAAAAGTGCTCTTTCAGTTGTTTCAGATCTCTCAGTCATTGCCTTTACTGGTTTAGAACAAATATTAAAAGCTTTAGAAAAAGGAGGCTAAACCCCCAACCTTTTTAAGGTGTGTTTGTTTCAATTGCTGCTAAAATGTTGCATCTCACATGAAAAAATTTCTGTCCAAAAGGCTCATTTGTGATCGCATACGGGAAGCTGGATGTGCTGGATACTTAGCAATAATACTTCCAGCTCTGTAATCTCAGTCTCAGATTCTCACATTTCAGGGCTCTGTGCTGAAATATTTAACCCTTTGGTGAGAAAAGGGCCCAGTCCCAGGGGAGCAATTAACAAGGTGGCACCTTGCTCCTGCAGCAGCAGCCTGCCTTTCTCCCTGCCATCGAACTGCTGGGGGTTTATGCAACCTCACTGTCAGCAGCACAGAGCCAAGAGTTTGCACTGAGCTTTGTGTGGCTATTGTTATCCAGGGAGGTGTTTTTATGTGACCTCAGCCAGAGGTCTGTTCTTGAAATATTAATAACTGATGGAAAGGGAAAAAATCACTTCTTGTAAAGGTCACGGTTTTCTCTGTATTTGATGTTTTAGTCAACATCTAAACTCCTGAATTCTTGCAGGAGTTCTACTCGCCTCAGTTATGTACTAGTTTAAGTTTAATAGAAGAAAGAGTTGGCCCCTAAAGATGGGAAAGAAAATTTGCAAATGTAAGTCCTGCATGTTTAGAAATGGAAATTTACTGAGGTCATTATTTTTCTTGATGTAACCTGGGAGCTGCTTCTCATGCTTCCAGTTGTAAGAATACAAAAAGTATTCCTCAGGGCCTTTCTTTGCTCTTACCCAGTCCCCTACTCAAAGAGAAGCACTGCAAGCACTGAAGTGTTTCCACTGAGGACTTGGGGGCTCTCTTCTCCCCCCGCTGGGAATCATCAGACAACAGGCTGCTGAACTGCTTCCATATTCCTTCCAACCTAAGAGTGTGCGAGAGCTAAAAGTGGTGGCCTGGAAGCAAAAGCTCCTTGCTAGGTGGGTGTCAGTGCCAGCTGCAGGCTCTGTGCCTGGGGATTGATTTCCCAAGTCAGGCTGTCCCCCTCCATTGCACCAGAGAAAGTTGGTGTGGACATAATTTGCTCCTTACTCAGCGTGTAGTTGCTCAGGGTTATGAAACAGATGGCTGGAACTGAACCACTGACTTGAGGCTGCCTAGCTTTTGTTTTCCAGCTGAAATTTCCTGCACCATCCCTGTTTTTTAGGGTTTGGGTGTTTGTTTTGGTGGGGGGTTTTGTTTGTTTGTTTGGGGTTTTTTAATAGCTGTATTATTTATATTGATATTCTTTCATGGGTATAACATGCAGTCTCAAAAGTCACAGCAGGCGTGTCACCTAAAGCTCTTTCCTGGGGCATTGCCTTCAAGAAAATGGCAAGAAAATCCATTAAGTTCCAGCACCAAAGAGACTGAAATAATTCAGTGAGGATGCATCTCCTGGGAGGAAGATGGCACAGACTGTGAGATGCTCCTGCATGGCCTGGACGGGGCGGTCAGGGGCCGCATTTCCACAGGCTGCTGATCCAAGTGACAGGCAAGAGCAGGGCCAGCCCTGAGAGCGCAGAAAGGCACAGCCTGTCAGAAGCCATTCTGTGGCATTTTCAGCCTCCCTCTCTGGTTGAAGCCCTCATCTTTCCCAGGGAATTAATTCTCTAAGGATCTGGTTTCCAGTGATTTTCCTGCCTCCAGCAGCATGTGAAATCCCATGCAGCGGTGGAGGTGGCCAATGGGGTCTTCAGCACTGCCAGGGGAGGGTACAACAAGGTCATTTGTTACCTCTGCTGATGGTGCTGGGGGAACAGATAGCAATGTGAGTGGCTTTGTAGTGTGGAAGAAAGGTAGGGTGCAGAAAAGAACAACAAAAATATAGACTCTGGATTTTTCAGTTAAGATGGAGTGGCATCTCATTGAAGTAAATCATGAGTGCCTCTTCCCAGGGTGGAAATACAGGAGAATAGAGGTCTCTCCAAGGGAGAGAGCCTGGAGGAACCAAGGGGTCAAATCAGCACCTTCCTGCCAGGCTAAGGTGGCTGTATCAGCTGAAGGCCTGGGGTTGCCTGCAGCCATCTCCAGCAGGACATGTCCCCCACCCTCCCAAGTCATTCCCAGGCACTGTCTTTGCAGAGCTGCTTTTTCTTGGAAGCACAGCAGACATCATGCCCATTCTTCCCAGGGCAGCTTGGCAGGATTATTTTCCCACCTTTCCAGTCCAAAACCTGCTCTTCCTGGCTGAGCTTCCCTTGCTTTGCTAGTGATGGGTCCACCCCATCGTGCAGAAATGGAGCATCCTCAGGAACAGTTTGTCATGTTTTGCCTCTGTATTGGCCTTCCCCAAGGAACAGGGAGAAGCTACTTCTCCATCCTTGTGCAAGCTCCACCCTGAGGGGCATTGTGCAGACACCTTTCAGCTGGTGCAGCACTGAACCCCTGCTCCAGCCCTGTACTGACCCAAACCTCATGTCTCTGAAAATCCCACCTAGTTGAAGGATGGACTTTTAGCACTGATCTTCATTCACACTATTATTAAACAAAAGAATTACTGTTAAGTGCTGTCAAAAGCCAGAAAATCATGAGGTGTAAATTTTGTGTCTTTATGAGCAGAACAGACTGTCCCCTGATGCCCCAGGAAATGAGGGCCACTACTTTCCTCCCAGCTGGTATTTTTCTTCCCCAGGAAACCCCCAGTTTAGTTATTCCAAAGTCCTTTCCCACCATTATCAAACCTCACATGGGCCCATGTGACTTTGTTGTCTCTGTGCAGAAACCAGTGGCTTTGTAACCCCACCACTGTTCGATTAAAAAGCAAATATTTCTCTCATGCCCAAGGCAAAGCGTTGCTGCAGAGCCACCGTTCACCAAGCAGGGATTTTTTGTGCAAATCATTTTTTTGTGGCCTGCTGGAAAAAAACCCTCATTGCCACATCCAAATGTGTTTAGCCAGCACAGGCAAAAAAAAAAAAACCTAATAAAAATCTGAGGTGTAAGGGAGAATTAAAGAACAGTTTGTCAGCTCTAGGAGCTCCAGGGAGATTGTTTCTCACAGAATTAGCAGACAAGACATCGATGGTGCTGGTCTGGCTTAAAGCATTAGAATTTTGGAGGGGAGAAGAGTCCAGGCTGGGTTGGAGCAGAGGTTTGTGCTTCTGGTCGGGCCACAGAGAGGCACAGGCAGAGGGGGACACACTTGTCAGGTCTGGGTCATAGCAGTTGGTTAAATTATCTTTTTTTTTTTTTCTTTTTGGCAGGATTTTATGCAAGTCACACTGTGTGAAGTATGAGATGTGGGGATGATGCACTCCTGGCAATGGACGCATCACTGAGTTCTTAACCCAAATCCCACCCTTCACCGGGCATTTTTAACAATATCCAGATGGCAGACTCAGGGCTTCAACTCAAGCAAATGCATCATGAAAAAAATCAAGTGTGGGGAAGCTTAGATGAAGGCCAGTTAATTAAAGCTTTGAAGCCTGTGATGTATTGAACAGTAGTTTGTAATTTGTCTCAATCATTATTGCATGACTGACTTTTAGTAGCATTTAACACCAGTTTTGATTTTTTAAAGAGATGGCATCACACATGGTTTTGCTCCTTGTTTTTTGTATGTAAATTACCTGTGGAGAATCTTTATACGTGGCATTTCAGGGTTTCTTCAAGAGGAAGAAATTACAGCTGTTAGGTGTATTAAGCAAAAATTAAGACATTTCACTGCATTATACAGCCTGTCTCCTAACAAAAAAGGGGGATTGGAAGCTTTTTTTCCATATTTTATTTGAAAAGAAAGCTCTTCTTAGCCTTTCAAAAAATTCTTATTGACCTTTCTTCCCCCAAGCATTTTCCAGGTCTCTGGCTGCTGCCCAAACACTCTCCTCCCAGTGTTACATCCGGTCACAGATCCCTCTCATGCACCCTGTTCCCTCTTTAAATACTTTTGGCTGCCGTCCATGCCCTCACCCTGCAGCCCTGGGATCTCATGGTTCCCCTCTGATCCCCAGCCCTTCAGCAATACTGAAACCCATCAGGGAAGCTCCACCAGGAACTGCAGGACAAATGGCACATAGCTCCACCTAAAATAAAGCAACAGTGCCAGCAGCAGAAATCAGCTACTGTGCAAGCAGAAACTGTTTTGTGTCATGGACTGGCTGAAAAATGGAAGTTGTGAAGAAAGCAGGGAAAAGGTGAGTCAGCCTTCCTGTGCTGGTGAAGAGGGAAAGATGAATCGTCCTTCCTGGTTTTAATGTTGGTTGTTTGGGTTTTTTTTTTCTCCCCCAGTTTGCTGCTTTCCTGCTCTCTGGAGGTGGATTTTTCATTCTTGATAAGAATGAAAAAATAAATCTGTGTTGGTTTCATACTCGGGAAGTGGCTTTAAAAACCGGTCCCACAGAAAAGTTAGTAAATCAGTGAGGAATAAGCTATGTCCTTTCATCAACAGTGTGAAAGAGCAATGAAGTGTCTTGGTGTCCTTGAAAAAACAGCAAGACATGGTGCTAACTCCCACTGCAGTGATCCCTGCAAAACAGAGATGGGATGGGAGGCCCAGGGGCTGGAATTGCTAATAGGCCTGGGCAGGGAGGCTGCTGTGACAGCTCCAAGCAAGGGTAGATGATTACCTGTATGGCTCATCTCAGTGGAGGGGTGGCTGGGAAGGTTAATGCACAATTATGGATTCTGGGTATGTCCCTGTAAAGGTTAATACACACCAGAGTGCATCCAGCAAAGTTTCTAAAAAAGGGTCTTGAGCAACCAGAGTGGGCTCTGGGACAAATAAGTGGAAGGATGCTTCAAATTTGTGAGGAACCTGAGGTAAAGTTCTACGGATTTTTCTTTTACCTGCTATCCAGAGAGAAGCTGTGTTATTTTTAGAAATCAGTGCTGAGACTGTGACACCTATCACAAGCCCAGGAAGATGGAAACTAAGTTTGAGGGTGCTCTCCTGGCTGAAATCCATGAGGAAAGATGTTTTAGGGATTAATGTCACTCCATGTGGCAGGGGCTTTCCCGCAGAATTGCCAGGAAAGAGGTAACAAACTTCCCTCCCTAGAGCTGGCTGCGTCCTGCAGACTGCCTTTGAGTCAGGCAGGAGTTTTGACACCGAAACATTTAAGTGCTGTTTTGGGTGAGCGTCCTGCAAGCCTTTGATTAGAGCAGTGCAGTGCTCATTAGACTGACTTGTTTTAGCAGCTGTCCAACACAGGAGAAAAGAGAAATCATTAGAAGTAAACTCTGTGTTGCTCTTTCAAATATTATGACCCGTCATTGCTCTGACAGTCTCTGAACAATGGCATAAATGGGCTGAGTAATGTGACCCAGTGTCCAGAAAAGCCTTATTCCAGAAAACAAGGGTGGTAAATCACATGATGCCCCATGAGATGGGGTGTTTTGCCAAATTACTGCTTCAGGGGAAGTGAGAACAATTTCAGCAACTGGAACGTTACTTCATCAATTTCAGACCCTCAGGATTCCCATCGCCCTTTCTTCCCCACCTCCCACCTTGCTGTTTTCATTTTTAATTGGTGATGTCTGCCAAAGGCTAGTGGTTACCTCTATTTGCTGCCAGAAAAGCCTATTTTTTATCTTTTTAAAGAGCTTAGAAAACACTCAGAGGAAAATGGGAAGATTTCAGTTCCTCTTTTTACTACCAGCAGACAATCCTGTAGAATCAAATGCAGGCATCAAGGGGCACTTAGGTGTAAGACATCACCACAACAGCCTTTCAGTCTCTGTTGAATTTACCTTGATGCACAATTCTCTGTTTTGTGCCACATGAGACACAAGACCAAAACACCAGCAAACTCAACTAGGACAACTTTTTTTTGGAGCAGCTGGACAATTAATTCCTTAACAACTGTAAAATGCTCTGGTATGAACAGAGGAGGATTTGCCATGTATTTCTCCTTGGTGTTTCTAGGCTGAGTATTCTGTTATTTGAAAGCAGCTGATTTCTGAATAGAAACAGAAATGGAAAATAGAAATAAAAATGTTGTATCCTCTCCCTCCTCTTCCCCCAGTCATTTCATAAGGAAGCAGGGACTACTATGAAATATTTTAATTTTAACTCTGAATCACAGAATCTTGACATTTTAGACATTTTAGAGGTCTTTCCAATGGTAGATTGAGCAGGATTGGACAAAGACCATCACTGCCACGTGGGACCTGGTCCTGTTGTGAGCTGCCAAGGGTGTTTTCATTTGCCCTGAAAACAGCTGAGGGTGGAGAGCCCTTTGGTCACCAACCTGCCTGTGCCCAGAGGTGCCCATGGTTACCAACCAATGCATGTGGAGTGGTCTCATGCAGTTTCAAAAGTCTGAGACAGGGTTTTGTCTTGGCTCTTCAGGCCACCATGAGGATATTTAGAGGTTGGCTAGCCATGGTGACGTATTTCCAAGCATCTTAAAGTCACGTCTGATTTCTTTATATTTAAACATAATCCAAGGAAAATGAGGGACCATTTTCATTAAATAATTCTTTGGTAAAAATGATGAATGGAGAAAGAAAGAACCATTACAAGAAATGCATAAATTAATATACACACATCCTCGAACTGCATTACACCATCAAATCCCAACTTGCTTCCACGGCTTAAAGATTATTATACCTGGAGATGCCACACTAAAACAAATTAGTAGCTTGGCCATTTGTTGTCCTGAGCTTACACTGCTCCCATTCAGCCATTCCTTTCAGTGCTTTCCTGTGTTCCAATGAACATGTGATCCATGCTGAGAGAGGAGAGCATGGGGCACATCCAAGCTCCCCCTGTGCGAGGATCATCCCATCTGGATAGATGTATCTGGGCTGAGAGCTGCAGAATGAAGAAAACTTCTGTTCCTTGCACACATCTCTGTTAAAATTCTTAGATGTTAAAAAGCATCCTTGCTGAACCTCTGGACACACAAGTGCAGTGGATGAGTGGAACACGGGGACAGTGGGACAAGCTGCAGCCAGAGATGAGAGTCCAAGAGATGCGGCCAAAACTGCTCCATGATGGGAGTTTTGCTCAGAGATCCTCCTGGTGGGTTGCGGTGGTGAGGAGCTGGGTGTTTCACAGTGTGCCAGCTGCAGCTCCTTGTAGGGGTGCCTGGAGGCTGGAATGCCCCGTGACAAAGCTGCTGGCAGCCGTGAGCGGGAAGGGCCCATGTGAGGTTCAGGTTTGCTCCGGATCTTGCCCCCTCTCTGCCAGCCCCGTCACGGGCTGCACCTGGGAGAGGGAGCTGTGCTCTGAGCCCCGCAGCAGCATTCCCAGGATGGCCAGGACTTCTTGCAGGCCCCGGCCCGTGTGGGCACTGCAGCCCCGGAGCATCCAGCGGTGCCTCGCCAGCCCCCCCAGCCGCAGCATCTCCCCCAGCTCGGCAGGAGCCAGCGCTCCCGGCGCGTCCTGCTTGTTGGCCAGCAGGAGCACAGGGACGCCAGCCATGCCGGGGTGGCTCAGGGCCTCCTCCAGCGCTGCCATGGCTTCGGCCAGCCGGGCCATGTCTGTGCTGTCAAGCACGAAGATGAGGGTGTTGATGTCCTCCAGGTAGTTAGGCCAGCTGGCCCGCAGGCTGTCCTGTCCGCCCACATCCCAGAGGGTGAAGGATACACCGCAAGGTGTTTTCAGAGCCTCCACGTTGAATCCCACCGTGGGGCAGGTCTCCACAGCCTGGCCGCTCTTCAGTTTGTACAGCAGGGTGGATTTGCCAGCAAAGTCGAGCCCCAGCATGATAACTCGAGCATCTCTTTTCCGCCAGCCTTTGGAGATCAGCTTCCCCATCAAGATACTGCCGGTGGCGGGGGAAATGCAGACAAAATAAAATAGCGAGCAAGCGTGTTTCCTGGATGATGTCAGTCATTAACTGAGGGCTCAGTCCTGCCTCTCCGAAAGAGTACCCTAGGTTTGCTGAAGAAGATGCGGGCAGGCGGCTTTTGCTTCTCTCTGTAGCTCAAATGAGGTGAGAGCAATTATTTATGAGGTGTGCAGCAGAGCCAGGAGTGATGTTCACAACAGCAGTTTCTGCACCCCGGCTCCGCTGCTGCTCGCTTCTTTTCATTCAGGACCCGAAGGGATTGGTGCAAAAGAGAGCTAACATTTTGCAGGAAGAGGTGGGGAGACTGTGGAGTAAGTTTCCTCCTCAGCACATACATAAATAAATGAGCTTCCGTTCATTGGCTTGTACAGGAGAAATCCACCCCCGGCAGGACAGGACAAGGAGGAACCCGGGCTTCAGACCAGGGTTACTCCAGGAATTTGCTGAATCACAGCTCAAGGGCGGGGATTTAAAGCCTCTTGAGCAACAAGACGATTTTTCTGCCAGTCTTATGTTAAAAAGTACAAAACAAATCACTGTATCATCAGCTTTTACTACCTTTTGTGCAAATGGTAACAGCAGCAATTTTAAAAAATGCACACAAGCATGTTTTTTTAAAGTCTTACTGAAACACAATGAATCAAAATGCCATTCCTGGGGCAAAAATCCGTAAAATTCTTTATATCAAAGTATTTACGACATTTTAACTTTTTTAAGTGAAGCAAAGTCAGTCCTCTGTGGCTGAGGGGGTACAAAAATCCCCTAAAAGAACAGAAAACTGTTTAATAAGACAGCACCCCTTGCACTTCACATGCCAGAGGCAAAAATGTGCTGCTGCAACAACTCCCAGACTCGCTTGTGCAAGAGCAGCTGACGGCAGCCAGCAGAGTCCCAGCAAAGCCAGGATTTATTTCCCTTCTTTAGTGGCTGGTTTTGCTCCTAAGAGGCTGCTTAGAGGTGTGCAGAGCTCACCTCACAGCAGTAAGGCAGAGCTGCTCTCTAGCCACATTTATCTGAGAAAGAAATGGGAGTCACCCCTGCTTGCCTGGGCCCACAGGGGAATTTTTAACACATCTCTGGGAGATGCAGTTTCCTCAGCAATAATCTCCACATGACAGCTCCACGTCGCAAGCATTGCTGGGGATGAAGTTCAGCACAGCACGTGGAAGGGACTGCCTGGTCAGCTGGTCACTGAGAGGCATATTTCTTCCTCTGGGGGCAAGATACTTCAGTTTTCCATCTTTTACAGAAAGGAAGATGCATGAGAAAAAAAAGAACACAAGGAGTCCAGCCCACTTAGGCTGCATGGGATTGCAAGAAGTGCAAAACAGGCCATGTTTTGCAAGATAGCTCTGTGATAAATCTCTCTCCCATTGTTAACCCACACAGCTGGTTGGCACCAGAGCCTCCACAAGATTTATGCAGCTTGTGGATGTGTAAGATGGGTTTTAGCAATTGTGGAATACCAGGCTGGAAGGACCTCGTGGATCATCTGGTCCAGCCAACCTTTCAAGGCAAAAGCAGGGTCTAAAAGAAGATGAGCACTCTCTCCAGCCAAATCTTAACTGTTCCCTGGTGCTGAGGAACACACCACTTCCCTGGGGAGATTATTCCAGTGGTGGATTGTTCTCATTGTGAAAAGTTATCCCCTTGTGCACAATCAGAATCTCCCCAGGAGTAAATTGTACCCGTTACTGCTCATTTTTTTCCATAGACCCCTTGTAAAAAGGGATTCTCCATCTTCTTTGTAACCACCCTTTAAATATTGGAACACGGTGATCAGGACTTTCATAAGCCTTTTTTCTCAAGAGTCAACAATAAAATTGTGCAGCATGTGATTGTGATATTTTCTAAAACCAGTCTGTAAGTACAAAATTGGCAGAAAGCTCCCTAGATGTGGATAAGAAAAGAGAACTGTAATGCACAGTGGATTCTGGCCCTTCAGGGCACTGCTTGCACACCCTGAACTGTGTGTTGCTGCCTGAGGGTTATCCTTTTGTCCATGTTCTTCACTTTTTCAAATAAATCCTTGATCTGCTTGTTCACCATTTTGGAATAACCTTCCCATATTTCATTGTCCTTTAAGATCAGTATAGTTGATATTTTTAGACATAACAGTGGGTCAAGTGAATTGTGTCTTCATCTTTTCATATTTCTCCTGCCTTTGCTGCTGCTCATCCTCTCTGAGACTTGGCAGGCAGTGGTGACACACATCTGTTTCATCTGACCATTCATAGTACCACAATTTCCTTCAAGTAAATTAAAATACAGGTATGGGAAGCAGGGGTAGAGACTCTACCATTCTGTGAATAATTAGGCATTTGAAATATGATGTGATGGAGTCTTTGCATCGCCCACTCACATGCTACAGAAGAAGACTACTTCTAAAAAAACAAAAAGAAAGGAAAAGGGAAAGGGAAAAAAGGGAAAAGGAAAAAGAAGAAATAAAGCCAGAATAAAGGATGCAACTAAGCACAGTTTTACTGATGATTCCCTTCAGGTTTTCTATGGCACAGATTACAGTAATTCATGGGCAAATAGAGGAAGCTCTATGTTCTTTTTATTTTTTCACATGCTTATAACCTATGTATTGAACCTATTTTCTTTCTTCCTGACAATTATTCCAAATACAGGGTGCAAACTGTGCCCACAGAGCCTGTTCCGCCCACAGCTACGTTACAAAAGCATAGTATTTCCAATAAATAATACATAGGAGCAATTACAAGTCTGTTTAAGAAAGAATGAAAGAAAAGAAAGTAAAAGCAGACAAGATGAGTTCTGAGTGCATCTATTGCTGGAACAGAAAGGCCAGGTACTAAATAATTCAGACATTGTGTTCAGAGACAAGGACAGCCTCTATTCAAGCTGCGTCTTCTGTGGACAGAATAAATGTTCTTGTCTTGTGTGTCATGTCCCCGAATTCTCAGAAGCAATGTTAATTCCATTTGTAGTTTCACAGAATTTCAGTCCATTTATTTGTTTACTGGTTTTTTAGGCATGCATTTCTCTGCTTCCTAGATACACATCCCAAAAAAAAGCAATAATCAGTACTAGCAATATAGGAGAGAATCCCCCCTCCTTCCCATGCCCCAAATATTCCAATTACAGGGATTTTTGTCCTGATCACTATATTAACTCACATTTGTTCCAACTTCTGCCACCTCTTTGGAAGGCAGCTCCAGGGAGACAACCCTTCACAGAGCCAGGAACAGCAGCTGTAGTTCTGCTCCTTGTTGTGAGTGTACATCCAAATGGCATCTGCTTGGAACAACAAGCACATCTCAGTCCAGCAAAGGCAGAGTGTGCTTCCCCATCTAGACGTGCTTGTGTCCCTGAGAAAGGCCACCAAAGCCACCATGCACCCAGCCCTGCCTGTGTTTCCTGCAGGATCTCCTCACTAGATCATACATGAAAGCACCACCCATGGAGGGCATGTTCAGAGCAGCAGCTGGTGAGAAAGCCCGCTGGGAGCTGAAGGAGGCCTGGACACAGGCTGATGTCTTGACCTGCAGAGCCCACCTGTCCACTGCTGGCTGTCACCTTGAAGGGGATTTCTCCGTGTTTGGCCTGTGAGAGTTCCTTGTGCACCTGCTGGGATCACTGGATTTGACCTAGCCAGGGCTCCAGACTAAAACCACAGCAAAGCCAAATGCGACGGTTCAGACTTAGAGAAGTTTGGCCTTTTTCTTTCCTGCAGCCTGCTCCATTCCTCTTGCTCGTCCCTGATTTTGGTGTGCCCGCAGGAAACTCACTCCTGCTAACAGGCTCGTGCCAGTTCACTTGGCACGTGCCCAGGAAGCTGCCTGTTCCATCAGGGTCAGCGGGTAGCTGTGAGAGCTGGCAGCTGAAGGCAAGCTGCTTCTTCCCAGCAGAGACAAACTCCCAGAGGCTTGAAACACGGCTTAGCATGGTCTGAAAGTTACACAAGAGAGCCACAGGCTACGACATGCCCTAGAAAAGCCTGCCTGCAGTGATGTCTCTTGACAAGACATGATGGCTTAAAATTGAATCAACGCCCTTAAAGTTCAGAATGACAAGACTCACACAACAAAAGGCAGAGCAGATGTTAAGCACTTGTCCTTCAGGTGTCCATCAAGCACTCTGAGAGGTGCTGGCATCTCCAGGGGACTCCTGCTGGGGTTGGAAATAGGGCATTGCTGTCCAGCTCATCCTGTGGTCCTTGTTTTCGCCTCACTTTCTGGGACAAACATTTGGTGAAGGAAAATGATTTTTGGTAGCATAACTGGCAGCAGATACGTTATCACCTTCGTGCTTTCCAAAGTTAACTCTTTACAGTAGGAAATTACTCTAGCTGGAAAGCACAAAAGCTCACCTGCTACACCCTCGCTGATGCCATGTCACAGTTCCCAAGAGGTCCGTGTCTGTTCTCAGTCCCCACCTGTCTGGCCTGCTGCACATCCCTGTGCCGGAGGATGGCAGCCACGAGGACACAAACATGCCCATGGGTGTGAGATCCTGCTCAACACAGATGCCTGATGGCCTGGGCTGGTGGTGCCCCTGCATGTGCCCCAAGCCTGCCTGCTCCCTGGCTGGGGACAGTGGGACAGCTCCTGACCATCAGACCCTGCCATAACTCCCTGCACTGCACCCTGACAACAAGGTGAATGTGGAGAAATATGGCACAGAGCAAAATTTTTTCCCTCATGTTCTCATCCCTTAGCTGGCAGGTGCTTCAACAGCAGGATAACATGGAAAGGAAAATTATTTGCCTTGCTTTGATTTCTGTTTGAATTACTACATCTTTTGTATATGACTGTAGAATATTTTTCACAAATATTATTACTCTAGTATCTGAATTTATAATTTCCAAAGCTGTTTAGAATTCTATCAGGATGGAAGTCCTCTCTCTAGACATACTTATTCAAGTGCTGCCCAAGCTGTTTTAGTTTTTCCCACATAAATTGGCAGTGCTCTGTACTCTTCTATGCCACTGAAACTGTCATTCCAGGTCCTTCTTTGTATGTCTTAAATTTGCAGATCTCTTCCTCCTTGACCCCTAACATCTTAGCTTTGTCTCCTCAGGACAAAGCTTAAAACTAATCTTTTTTGGCATCCTTACCTATCCTGACACCATCATTCCTTTTCCTGATGCTATTCATTATCTCTTCTTCTTACAGTTGGTGTCTATCCCAGCTTAGGTCGTACACTCATCTATGCCACATAGCCATTTTCACATTAGAAACCAATTAAAATACAGCTCTGACTATTGTGAGAGGCCTTAAGCTCAATTCTTTATTATTATTAATGTTTCTAGTTGAAGAGAGAAAAAAAAAAAAAGAGCAAAAAATGTGTATGCTTACAAAAACATCAGTGTTATGTGTGCCAAAAAAAGGCTCCTGTATCCTAGTATTTGCTTCTCCA